CCAGCCCCCGCACACCCGACCGCCAACGCCGCCGTCGTCGTTGTCGTCGTCCACCCGTCAAACAACACTGCGGCCGATCGCGTGCGTGTGCGCGTCGCGTATTCCCCTCAAATCGCATGCCGGCCGCGGCGGCCTCAGAGTTTATTTATTATCGTCTCGGCGGAGGACGGGGGCGGGATCTCTCTCACTCACTCAATCTCTCTCTCTCGCTCACTCGTTCTTCTACTATCGATTTATCACTGGACGCGTATCGCCGAGGCCATCTGGTAGTCCGCGCTCCGAACTACACGCACCGTGCTCAGCAGCAACAGTTTCGCGCGCGCTCTCTACCAGCGCCAGCCAGCTCCTCTCGTCCCTCCGCGTCAAAGTCCCGCTTCGCCGTGAATTCGAATCCCGCCGAAGCGTCCGGTTCCGCACACTTCGGCGGCGCTTTCGCCGGCCCTTTCGACGCCGTCGCCAACCTTTTCTCCTCTCATCGCGACGATAGGGGGGTGGAGACCGCTCTAACTGCGCTAACCCGTTAACCGTCGCGCGTCAAACGATCCCTACCCTCTCGTATCCCGGCCGTGCACTAAGAGCGGCGGTACCCATGAAGGCCGTTTCGCGTTTGAACGCACCGCAATTCCGCACATAACTCTTACGAGCGCGGACCGGAAAAAAATGTCCGAAAACTCTCGAACACGTTGGAAATCGTTGGACGAGTCACACGGGGACACGTTTGGAAACGCTGTTTAGGAGTTGCTCTTCCGTTTACCGTCCACCGCGGTTTGATCGCTCGTTGATAAAAAATAACAACGTATATCAATTATAATAGTTCATTATTTTGATTCACCGACCAAAGTCAAAATCCGTATCCGCGCACGGGCTGCATTGAATAATATTGACGTTTCCTGCAATACAACAATGACAATCGAAACAACAATAACATCTTGTACAATATTTATATTATGTTATATTCGTGTACATGTGTACGATGCGGTCGTTGCACGTGTCGCACCGTTACGTACTATTGCTGTTACGTCGTTTATGTATTGCTGCAGCTGTTGCGCGCAAAATGGTACTGTTCTACTCCGAAGTATTAATTACTTCACGAGATTCGGTAATTTATACGTGTTTTATTGAAATAATAGTGAAATTAATCACTACGTCGTCCTTTTAGTGTACACTTCTTTACGCACTTTTTTTTGTGTTTCGAACGCTTACCCAGTGTCCGGAAAGCAAACTATCTATTTTCTATGTTTTCAAATTCATTTCGATAAACTTTAAAAATCAGGGCCAACAAGGGAGGGATTAGGGAGGGCTAAATTCGTAACCTACAATCTACAAATTCTTTTTTAATCTCATTCGGCGTAGCATAAGATGCAAATTTAAATATTTTTATTATACTTAAGTATGTACAAGTATGCAGAGTAGTATATCTTGGCCAAACAAATTTAGGTAAAGAGGACTTGGAACCAATAATCTCTGGGACCCTCAAAAGTTTTCACCGGCCGTGTTACAAATTAAAAATACATAGTAACGATAACCACATGTAGAAACCTATCATCGAACGACATAATTAATGACTTTTTAATTGGTACAAAATCGTTCCATTTTTATTTTAGGTCTTAGGAATTCGTGAAATTTAAATACTTCTTTGTATTAAGAATATTAATGTATTGGTATGGTATATTAAAGGCCGTTCAATTATCACTCCAAGTTATGATAGCAATTTTAATTAATTATAATGTTTTGTTTGATTGAAAAATTCGCTAATAATGAATATTACAATAAAGTAATAATTATATTATTTTTCAAAAAAGCTACGAAATGTAATAAAATTAGTTTTCGTTACAAAAATAAAAATCGATTGACCTTAGGCACGACCGTGATCTAAATTGCGATTGAGTAAACATATTAAGTACCTATATTAAGTATTGTTATTGAATAATTGGAATATATTTTCATCTATATATTACACTCTATAATGGATATTTTTTAGAAAATCAAAGTATTTTAGTCCATGTGTGAGCAATATTATATTATTCCACCCGGAATACATAAAAAAACAAATGTTGGTTTGAATCTTGGATTCATATATTTAATGGTATATTATATAATGTAGCGTGTGAATAAATAATAAAATATTTTATGTGTGTCAATACACGTGTTTTTTGTTGCGGAATAAAATGCTGCATAATTATACTGAAATCAATCGAGCTTATTTAATAAAAACTGGATCATTCTTATTTATTATTAGTTGAATTACCCGGCTTTGCACTTGTGTATTTTCTTAGGTTTTTTTATACTTACAACATTATTTTAAAATATTATGGGTAACATTGTTGAGTGCAAAATATATTTTACGCTTTGTCAGACTTTTATGTTTTTTTTTTTTTATACCTCTTTGTATATATTATTTTTGGTACTTTCTTCAGGCAGTAGTACTACCAGATTATAAGGAAAGCTTACCAGAGAACAAGTCACGTATAGTTGACTATGGGAGAAACAGTAATTCCTTAAACTATTCCACTTTCACAGACTACCCTTGCGTTTTGTTATGTGTAATGGTTAACTAGATCTTGACGAGAAACTGTTGTCGATTGAATCGAAAGTGGTAGTCAGATGGACTTAAATTATTGGTAGAAAAATGTTTTTTTTTTCATACCACAGCCTGTATAAGATAGTTCCTAATAAAGTACTTGGTATACATGGTGTACACACAACGTGTGAGATAATTTTCATCGATAAACATCAGAAAAATGCATATCTAGGTACTCATCGGTATCAAGTACATAATTTACAAATGAAAAAGACGGGTAACAGGTTGCTGGAAAATCGCGAGCCGTCGTGCTGTACAATATACGTAATGACGGTGAATTATTATTATTCAAATCTAATCTAATCGTAATCTAATATACTTAACACAACATTTTTTAAGATCCTTTTCTACTGCACATTTAGAGTATTAGAGAAATCATTATTCCAAATGTCAAGTTCTTACGTTTATTAGTTTTTGAGAAATAGCGATCAGTGAGTAAGTGGTATTTGGCTTTTTGACTTTTTTTATATAAAGATTAATTGTAAACGGGAGTAAAAAATTTATTTTTACCTATCTTTCAACATAGTTCAATAAAAAAACGAAAATCAATGATCTTTTTGAAATTGATTCAATTTGTATTATTATTATTTTTGTCGTTGTAAATAAAAGTATGTACTTAGTGTTGTACTTAGAGATGTAGTTAGTGTTATATGGTGAATATATTAATATCTAGTTCATCTACTTACCGTGTTTTACCCATGGTAGAATATATTCATATAGTGTAGTACTGCGATGTATACGTATTTATAACAATGGCAGTTGATAAGATAAAATCACAACCGATTTGACGCAACAAATATTTTAAACTATGTACGCGCACTGCTAAATGCATACGTTCAACAACACACCGAAGTACGAATTAATAAATTACCGGTCGATTACATAAATGTAATATACGACAGTAATTTGTTTCGTTTATTATTATATTAAAGTTACATCTGTGTGCAATAAGGTTTTTGACAATTACATAAATTATTCTTGCTTATAAAATTTACGTTACGTTTATGTGTAAGTCGAATCGAAAAAAAAAATACATTTGGATACACGAGTGAAATTACCAAATACTCGATATTTATTATATTTTGTTTTAAATTAGTATTGTTTTTCTCATTCACACGATGCCGCGGCTGTTAGTTAAACTTAATTTTTCTCAATTTGTCAACTGAATAACTTTGGGGGTTATTAGACTATCGATTAAATTTTATACAACGAAGGTTACAAGTAAGTTATATATTTGGTTTCTATTGGCAACATACGGCTAAAACAGTACCCTCGGAGCGTTTTCAACATTTTCATAAGTATGCTCAAACATATAATATGCAATTTGATGCATTATCACATGAAATCGAGAGCTATGGAATAACAAGAAAAAATATTCTTTTGCGAATCAAGTGAGTCAAATATTTCTATTTTATATAAATTAATGCTTTTATCAAAACATCGAATCATTTCATAATTAACTATCATTGTACTATATAGCACACAATTCGGTACGATAAAATAGTTGTGTTATTAGATATTTTTAAAACGTGTTATTGGTAGCTTTATTATTTTATGTGCAGTTTCTTAGATTGTCCGTTGAAAAGATGATAGAAAGTAATAGAAAAAGATTTATATTGTTTCCACCGTTTTTATCATGCAAAATTTCTGCGACTGTATTATATGAGAATATTTTCAAGTAGAATGTTATGGATAAAATAAATACTATACTCTAAAAACAATAAAATTAAATCAAAGTTTATTAAATAATATATTTAGTTCTTAAACATCAAACACATAAAGTATACGATATTCATTAAGTGATTACAAACTAACTTATTGATTAATTTATTCTCATTGAAATCGAGACTTAAATATCTCCAGTTTTGGATCGTAATAGACCTATTTTCTTTAATTATAAATATTATTGAACTATTGAATTTGTAAATGTAATTTAAAATTTTTATTTTTCAATTTTATTCCAATTATTCCCATACTATGTATACCAGTTCTTATTCTCTATGAAATCCAATTTGGATGGCACAAAATTTCAGTCACCTAAATAAATTGCGAGTCAATAAAGACTGAAGATAATTGTTTTGGGCTACATAATATAGTTATTCTATTCAGTACACACAAAGATTTCACGAAGCTTTGCAGTAGCTTTGTCACCATGTTCAATTTCCCAAAGGAATGCGAAAAATGTTCTGTAGAATAGAAAGTAATTCTAGGACTAAGGGACCAAGATTTGACCTCGTTAACATAACGCCCTAAAATATTGTTAAATTACCACTTAAAACCAATTTAGAAATATTTTAAATACTCTACTTAAATTTATATTATTGCTCTATTTTAAAACTATGTATTTTTTTTATTCTAATTGTAATTTATTTTTAATTGCACGAACATCATTTACGGCGAGGAAAATTAGCACAAACAATTGCAGTATTGTTAATTTAATTTCAAATGCACTTTTACAGATAAAAAAAATGACTAATAAAATATAATTACTTAAAATCTTTGAATTTTATTGTTTGCAAATGAAAAAAATTATTATGGAACTGTGATTATATTTAATCTGTATTCTAATTGGTATGAAAAAAAATGTTTCAATGTTATTCGAACTTATGTGGGAGATTTATTTTTCTGGAATAATTGCTACCTCAATAATTTTATTAAGCACATTATTATGCGAGTACTCAGTCATGACAGATTATTATACATAAATATAGTCCATTGGCAAATCATAAACCGCGAAAGGCCACAATCCATAACAATGTAAAATCAATACAATCCAACTAAACATACCCACCACGTACAGGTTTACATAATACAATATAGTAATCCGGTCATCAGTTATTGTGTATACGTAAAAAGTCTGATGAATACGTGTACAATGTACACTGTACATGTCTATAATATTATTATCGATTACTCATATGAGTTTCGATTTTGCCCCCTGTTGAAATAAATTTGGCTTACCGTTAGTATATTATGCAGATGATAATGTGCTACAGATGTTACGTATAGAGAAATGTATATTAGTAATATATATATATATATATATATACAGCACAAAATTAATTTTATGCACTCAAGTTGAATTTAATAGAGCAGTACCATCTTATTCATTCAATCGAAACAAATTTAATTAAATACAACACAATCATAGTTCAACTGGAAACCATTAGGATTTGTTAAATTTGCATTCGTAGTGTAGTATAAACACCATACGCATACCTGTAAAAAATAATGATAACAATTTTCAATTATCTCCGGTCAAGTGCATTATAAATGCAGTCTTCTGCTATGGTATTCTCAACGTCTAGAAGGTTCTGTATACAATAATGTCGATCTTGGCATGGGCATACAGATTACATTTGGTTGGTATAGAAGACGTACCACCTGTGTCAGATTAATATTGCAAGGGTCTTCTTTTATGGCTACACAAAGAACCGTTCTAGGTAAAATATATTATAAGAGAGAAAAACGTGACCCATGGGTAGGTTAGGAATTCAATGAATACGAAAAATGCCATCCACACCCCATCGCGCTTTGTACCTGTACCCATATAATACATATTGTATTCATTCTTATTGTTAAAAATATATGAAAATCAATTAAAACATTTCAGACATGGGAACATATTTTCGTGCACCTTAAGGCCCGGCGCACATTGAGATGCAGGTGACGCAGCGCAGCGCAGGGCAGCGCAGCGTAGTTTTCTGTAATCTATTAGTTAGAACGTACTAGCGCATATTGGGAGGCAGGGCAGGACAGAGCAGTACTGTGCCTGTGTTACGCAGTGTCCGCGACATAGATTACTGCATACGTGCAGTGCAGTTTTGGAAATTACGATATACCTTAAAAAGACTGCCAGTTTTTCTTCAGGATCAATCGGCTTTTGAGCATTACATCCAGATGAATAAATAGTATCTCGTATTAAATTAAGAACTTCATTGAATTGATTTCGGTCCAGGCGAAAGTAGTTCAAAAATTGTTTGTTAGAAAATTCCGATTACAAATTGAATTCACCGTGACTTTGTCTTCTCTTTATAAAATTACTTTTCCACGTTTTTTTTCTTTACTTAACGAATACAACGAAATTAATTCATCAAATTCGTCATCGGAATCTGATTCAGAACTTAAATTTATTAAATTTTCGGCCATCATACTATCGCTCATGCTGGTAACTGTGGATAACAACTGTCGGAGAAACGCCAGAACTGCGTAGTAATATACGCTCACTTAGGTAGCGCAGTTTTTCCTGCGCTGCGCTGACCTACGCTGCGCTGCGTCGCCTGCGTCTCAATGTGAGCCGGGCTTAAGCCACTTCATTATTTAAATAACAATTTAACTTGAGAAATTAGTTAATATAACTAAATTCAGCTACACGCAACGCGACATCAAAGTATGATATATAGTTCTTATATTATTATTATCGTACACAATTTAAAGTGACCAATAATTAGATAATTTATAGAATGGGTAACGAGCATATTATATGAATAATAACAAATTATAAGACTCAATAAATATTTGACCTAAAACATGATTTAAGAATAAATATTTTATCATTATGTTCAAGTGACTTGAGTAGGCCGGTAATGGCCGGTAAGAGTCGTGTAGACCGTACATCTATTTATTAACGCTTTCTTTTTATACTGTAATAATTTAAATTTGTTCGTACGAGTATACATTGAAGTACTGGTGTACGTTTCGTACAATAGCTAGATATTTAAAAATAGTTCTCGTCGTAGTTGAACACGGATATAAAATTTCACTAGGCACTACACAATTGCGAAAATATTTTTCATAGCAACAAAACGAATGTTAACAAACAGCTTTCTACGTAAGACCAACACTTGTCAAATAATCATTTTTAAGAGCATATGGTTTGGCTATCACAAAAAATTACTTATGAAGATAGTCAAGCAAAATACGACAAGAAAGACTTAGTGTGATACAAATCAGTTACGAATACCAGCGTAAAATATTTTTTGAATAATTTAATGTGAATAATATGCATTTTTACACAATACTACAAATATATTGTGTTATGATTAGTAATGAGTTAAAAACGTACATTGTAAACTATTACTAGTAGGTTATTAGTCCTACCCAAACTGCAGAATGTCATAATTAGATAGCAGATTTCTAAGTTTTTACATAGATTTATTGCTTTATGCAGTGCAATGAGTATAAAATCTGTAGACAATTTGTCTATTATAGAGTTCATGGGAAAACAGTTATTTTGTATTTTAAAGAATATTTGTAGATTAGAAAATATTCAGTCCATTTTTCATGTTTTAGAATATATAGTATTATTGTTCATAAAAATAATTATTATATATATTTGGTTAATTTCTCACCGTAGGAAAAAAATTTTATTTGATTTAAGAATGAAATTTAAATCATTAGGTTTTTTTTTTGTAATCAAGTAGGTGCCTTATATAGGTATCAAATATATAATGTTGGTCACGGTACTCTCCAGCCGTGATTAAACAGTAGAAAATAAAAATATTTTGGCGGGCAATAATATTTATTTAAAATTGAACTTATTCCGTCAGGGAAAAATAGAAAACAACTTTGTGAATATTTAACTCCTAACTTTGTTACTAATATAAAGATTGTACAACTGACATCGGTCGACGTAAAAAAATCATTCTGTTTATATATATGAAAAAAAAAATTAATAGATAGAAGAACAAATTGAACTTCTGATAATATGAAGCAATACATTAATGGAATTTTTTTTTCACAAAATTGGATCTTAATTACTGTGAAATATATATTTTATTATACATCTTAATTAATATTTTTATATAATTTACCAAAGAAATGATGTATAATCCTATCTACAACAGTTATTTATTTTTTTTATTATTTAGTTTTTTATATATATTATTAAATTAATTAATTTATATGTATTAAATGTTTTAAATTTTAATAATTTATTGGTGAGCAGTAAAAATATATTTTATCTTGCTATAATGTTTAATAGTATCTTGATTTTATGAAACGCCTATGTATCTATTATTTGATTGAAAAAAAAAACATTTTTTTAAGTTTCTATACATTTAACTTCTTGTCAAAGAAATTGTGTACTACAGTTATTTATTGTTTTATATTTTATTTTATTAAATAAGTTATAACCTATATTTTTATAAACTTTTTTTATTTTATTTAACATTTATTATAAGAATTTATACATTTTTTCATATATAACTGAGCTTAAATAATTTAACAAATAAATTATACATATAAATGCATATTTTGAGAATTCTGGTTGATTTTCAAATTATATAGTTTATTTTAACTTTATAACGAGGTACAATGTTTTAATGGTAAATGTAAATATTTTATAATGTAATGTAAATGCTTACAATACATATTTCCTACTCTCACGTGTATACAACTATTTGAAATAAAATAAAAATCATGTTTTTAGCATATTTTAAAAGTTCAAATAATATTAGAAGAATATTTTGAGGTATTTTTAGAAAATATTAGCATTATATTATAAACTTTTAAGAACTTAAAAATTGCTCTCTAGTCATTACTCAAATTAACGACATTTATAAAATAGTTATTAATACATTTTTTGTATATACCACGATACTTTATGAAGTTCGTTGTATTTTTGACAGCAATATAGTTCTATGTTAACATTAACACAACAGTGTTTTCGGTAAAAACTAAAAATGTATTAGCTGTCAACCTTTATAGCCAAATGTGTATTCAAGGTAATGAAGACTAACAAATGTACAAACAATGTATTGATATTGCGTAGTTGACCGGTAGCTAATTATTCATACTTTCAGTCCTTTGTTTTTTTAATATACTACGATTATTAGTCAAGCCTTTAAAACTAACCAAAACGATTAAATAAGTTGTAAAAACAAAAAAAAATCAATTATTTTTTATCGTCGAACGAAAATACGAAAAATATTACATTTAATGAAGATTAATATATGTTGAAAATAATACAAATAAATACTTCAAATAACGAATAAATACGAGTGATAATAATATGTTAATTATATAAATAGAATCATTAGATTGTTATTTTTATCTAATACTCCTCAAAAATTCACTCATTGCGGTCTTTATAGTTTATTTTTTCATGTAAAAATGTGTAAAAGAAACTTTTGTAAAATTACAATCATGGAAATAAAATGAATATATTTGTACACCAGTATTGTTGAGAACACCCATTAGTCATCGCGATTTTAAAAATGTTTTATATTGGAAATTCACATGAAATATTTAGAAAAATCAACGTATAAATTTAGAATATATTTTTACTAGGTATACTATATAAATTTGAAATTACTTTACTAATCATTGTGCTCTTCATTCCTATCTTTGTATCTTTTTTGGCTATTAAATGTATCAACATTTGTTGAAAAACATTGAATCAAAAACACTATGAACTTCTAACAGTAACTACTGTTACTAATTTCTTCTTCTTCTTTGGGCTATACAACTTGAGAGCATTTTCCGCCAAGAGAACCATTATCATCCCTATCACGAATCATTGTAATTGTATTCCATTCACACGTTCCCATCTTCCTTGGATCTTCCTGAACTATAGGTACGTCGATCAATCATTGCCTTCCACTGTTCCAAAATTACAAATCAAAAATAATACCATGTAGGTACAGCTAGTGCGATAATTCTTCAACAATTATTATGTTTAAGGAAATATTTTTTTCAAATTCCAATAAAGCATTCTGAAATGGAAATAAACGTGTCGGTTATACATATTAGACGTTTAAACATTTTATGCCATAACATTCATTTGGTTTTAGGAAGTTTGATGTTGTAGTAAAATACTGTTTTACTTGTAGGTATTCCATTTTTTTTTTTTTTTTTTAAATACGTTTATCTCACTTGTGTAATACTAATAGCATTAGTTAACATATATATTATACATGCTTGCATAATACATAGAAAGCGACATTTCAAAACTTACGTATTATCTTCAGAAAATACATTTGTAAGACGTTGCAAAAGTAAAAGAATCGGTATTAGTATACGAGTATAGAGCTACTTTAAGTTAGAGAATGAAAAAAAAATAGTAAGTCCATTACCATAAGTATGTTGACTGTCGTTACGCATATTTGTTTTACGTATATTCGTGTGTGCCGAGAGTAATGTTGGAGCTCGGAAATAGCAAAAACAAATATTAGTTTTCCCTTATATATATACTTTGTACGTCAATAAATGTAAAAAATATACTATGCAGAATTTTCTTTTTCATCGTATTTTTAGAAATTATTTTTATCGTGATTTATGATATTTACTGGAATTAGGAAAATTTGTATTTTTAAACATGAAAAAAGTACGATTTATCTTGGTATACATAATATGTGAGAAGGGGTGTATTTATGGGGGATACGCCTCCCCGAAATAAAAAACACCATTATTAAAAATTGTTATTTTTGACATGGATATAGCTTAAGGCTGGAGGTTATTCCGAAAATTTTTTGTCACGAAACCGAGAATGTTGCTTATGCGATAATTTAAAATTTTATATTTATAAAATATGTTTATTTTTTTAAGAAAATGCGTGGTGAATTTTGCATGTTTGATAAAAAATTGTTTATTACAATGTAATTTTTATATTTTTTTAAAATTATAAATCATTAAAAAAATTTAATTTCTTATTTCTCCGATGGTGTAAAAACATTCGAGAAGTCTCATATTATTTTCAAGAATTATTTATTATTCAAAAAATATTTGTCGTTATAGTGTGCTCCTTCCTTCTCTTCCCCAAAAATCAAATACATGATCGGCCTCCTCAGAAATGAAAATTTTTGTATGCCATTGAATGTAAGTGATAATTCGTAATGGAAGAGCGCCAATGTATTCCGAAAAACCTATAATATGACGAAAAAGTGTTATGATTATTTTCTACCTACCCATATCTTTCAAACCACTTTTCCGTACTGCGGTAAAATCATACTATTAAACTATTGAACCATCCCACTGGATTACCGATGACATTTATTAAACTATAAGATTGCGGCGCGCGCTGTGTTAACGGCACTAACATCAAAACAATATCGTTGATTTAATAAATATGCATAAAGTTTAGTAATTTGTAATCTGTTCGTATAATAGCTAATAGTTTATCATAAACATTTGGATGTTAATTACCTAGACAAATGATTAACATTAATTGCATATTATTTACATTTTGGTTAAATAAATTATTTATCTGGAAAAAATAATTTAGAGAAATGCGAAGAAAAATTTTTAATTAAGAAAGACCTTTTTAAAATATAAAATCTTTACGATTTTTAACCTATTGTAATTGATTGAACTATAATTATAACTATCATAATACAAATATAGGTATAAAAATATAATTATATATATATATATATATTAGAATTCAGTCTTGCAGTATTGCGTTAAAGTAAGTAATAAAATTCTCTATAATGAAATGATTGGTAAATTTTTAATATTAAAGCAGACTAGGTTTATTTTTTGTTGAGGGTCAACACAAAGAACATTTATGGGCTACCATAACGGTTAACTGCTATGCTTAATCAATATTTTCTGAAACATTAATCATCAGTACACTCAATACCTATCAGTGAATCGGGGTTAGGTCCCGAACACCAGGGAAGGGAGATGATGAAAGGAAGTATTCTATAGTTGAGTCCCGGATTATTTCAGGTAGGTATTTAATACATTCGTTGGACCTTTTTAGGTAACCGCTGCACTAACATTTTTCCTCTGATTCATTAGGTTGTTCACGATCAATTATCGACCACGGGTGTGGATGAAAATGTTTTTTCGCTCATATGATGAAACTTATAAATGTTAATAATAAGATCCAACCAGCGTAATAAAGCCAAATACATTCAGTTGATAATGGGATCCGTTTAGGGTAGAAATGTTAATTTCGAGATCCGATTCAGGTGCCGCCCTCCGCACCAATTGCAATAGTATATCCGCTCGGTCGTAGATCTGAAAAATAATAATCGCCGAATTCGTTTTAACAGTAGACAATTGTAAGCTACAAGCGGTTAACACAACGACGACTCTGTTTCATTCCGTATGTTTGTTGGTTTGCCCGCAGGAACGGATAACGCGACAGAAGTCTATCGGCGGCGGTGGTGGTGGCGGCGGCGGCGGTGGCTGCGGCGATGGTGGTGACGGCGGCGGAGTGACGTGTGTGGCATCATTCATGGACGTCAAAGTGGTGTACGTTAACCCGAACGGGACGCTATCCGTGCTGCCGGACCCCGCGGCGGACGCCGTATCCTTATTGCGCCCGTCTTCCGTGTCGTTGGCCGCGGCGTACCTGACGCTCTCGTCCGCGGCCATCGCGTCCAACGTGATGGTGCTCATCGGCATTGTGACCACGGACAAGCTGCGGTCACCGTACGCCGTGCTGGTGTCCGCGCTGTGCTTGCAATGCGCCATGGACGCCGCGGTCGGCCACTACGCCGTGACCAGAGACCTGATGGTCGGCGGCGGCGGGGGCGGCGCCGTCCTGTGCCGCGGCGTGGCCACCGTCACGGCGGCCCTGTCCACCGTCCAGCTGGTCACGTTCGCCGTGCTCGCGTGCTTCAACGCGTTCGTCCGAGCCGACTACGACGAGCTGCCGCTGCCCGCCGCCGCCACGATGTGGTCCGCGCCCTCCATGTACACGTACGTCATACTCACGCCCACGTTACTCTTTAACGCGCGGTACTTTCCGTCCAGGTACGTACACGCATGATTGCCGTCCGGTTTGAATGTAAAACAACGCGAATGAAATGCGTTCGCATAGACCAGGGGTGGCGAACCTTTTTCGGTTCAAGTGCAAAATTTTTCTTTTTTAGGTTTTGAAAATCGTTCACGTGCCCCCCCCCCCCCCCAAATGAAAATTATATTTATCAGGAATAAAAATAAAATTACAGATTTATTATATTATTTTTATTAAATTTTTGTCTTTCTTAGTGAAACACAAGCAGCAATTGTTTCATCGGTCATTTTATCGGTCATAATTTCTTTCCTTCGATTTAATTAAATTTGTTATGGCGAATAAGCTTTCGCAAATGTAAGTTGACGAAAAATATGCAAGCATAAGGAATACTGTCATTTTTAAAACATAAATCTATAATTTGTTTATTAAAATCTATTATAACCTGCATTTTATAAATACTATTTATTATTTTTTTTTGTGAACAATTTTTAATAATTTCAATTTTTTGCTCGTGCCATTAAAATTTGGTCAACGCGTGCCATAGGTTCGCTACCACTGGTATAGAAGTATAAAGGCGATGGAGTGAGTTTTCTCATGATTGTTAGTAGGAACAAGTGGAATAAGACCGAATTCCACTGTTTCGGGTTCTAGGGCACTAACTTACTACGTAACATACGTGAACAGTAAATATAATTCGGAATCTGGACACGAATATCGATCGAATTCGTACAGAATGCTGATAAAAACTGGGGTGCCTTAATTTCTGTTCTTAATTAATAACACTGCAATGCTCGTTTAAATTATTCGTTGTATCCAGAAGTACAATAATTTTGAATTCATTAAAAATGTATTTAGATTGGATATATTACGGGTCTGTTACATTGGGTTCAATAGAAAAGTCTGTTAAACAACTGTAAGGAATTGAATCTAATTGAGAAATTTCTACATGGAGTACCTACTCTCATTTCAGGTTGGGTTTATATCTCGGCAGTTGTTAATATCAAGTTAAAAACTAGCGATTTTCAAAAGAAAAATGCTAAACTTGTTTTTACGGTTTATTTTTCAAATGAATAATTACTCGTTTTCATTTTTCCACTAATTTCTACGAATAAGGTTGCTCGCTGTGGTATTATATGGATATACATTTGATTATTTGATATACACATAGAATTAAACATTTGTGAATAGAAATTAGTGATTTATTATTTACCATAGTTTATACCACACATAATATAGTAAATGCTTTTATTTTACATTAGCAGTTTTTTTTATTTATATTATAATATAATTTGTGATGGAGTACGTGGGTATATAATAGGACTTACAGAAACGATTCAATGTTTAATATTTTCATTTTCATCCCTTAGAATTATTGCGGTTGTATTTCTTCCCGTGGACGTAATAATGACTTCCATCTGTGATATCAATATTTTTGTATAAAATTTACATTTTCTCATGTACTCACGTATTTGCTTTTGTATATTCAACAATAACTGTGATATAGTTTAATATTATTCACGAGCACTTAAAAATAGAGCGATGATAATTTTTAATAAATTTACTATTTAAATACTTCATGTCACACTATTTTAGCAAACAATTCGATTTTGCATCAATTAAAACTAGGCATAATGGCATTTGATAATTAAATTAATCATGCCATATAATATATTATATATGAATTGTTTGTTTTCATCAAAACTTTAACATGCATCCATAAATTATAAATATAATTTTAATTAATTTACGAATAACAATACCTTTACTATACTTTACTGGATCAAGTAATCCATGTATATGGCTATTTGAGTATAAAATGTTTTTTAAATTGTTTTTAATGGGAAGCATACATAACAAATACTTGTGGTGTTGTCTCACCAAATGCAATTTGTTTTTGAATGGATTTGGCCCAGAATAGGCAACATCAACTCAACTGAATATCTTATGTTAACATTTTAATTACTTTTGAAACAATAATTTTTACGGAATCAGAAGAGTTATAAATAATTGATGGAGTGGTGCATTTGGAAAAAAAAAACGACTTTAGGTAGCTTTTAAGGTACTTAGATAAAAAATTAATTAAAATTAAAAAAAATTTGATGTAGCTTATGAACTCAAAGAAAGTAATTAAACAGATTAATTTTAAGTGAATTAAAATTGACTCTATTTGAAATTATAACATAATTGGAAGTAAGTTTAGTATTTTTATTTACAGAAGTCGGTGCGGATTTATCACGAACACAACTGGATGGTTTTACCCTACTTTATTGATTGTCTTCAGTTTTATGATACCGTGGTCGATATCGTTTTATTTCGTATTTGTATCACGTCCTTCGACGACTCTTAAATCTGCCAATATTTTACTCACATCTGCCCAAAGAAAGAAACAAATCGATCTCGTTCCGTGCAAATTGATTTTTATGTCGTTCACGATCCTTGTGACGCCGAGTTTCATCTCGTCGTGCGTTTATATCTATAGTAAACCGAATGAAAATGTTTGGACCGAAAACGAAGCAGCGGAAGATATGCTGGACGGTTATCTATCTAAATTGCCCATTTTGTTTGATCTAATTGTACCGCTGATTGTAATATATTACCATAAAGTGTTCAGGAAAAAATGTAGGGAGCTTTACTTGCACGGGTTTCGAAATTCCGTCTCGGATGGCCGTCAAATTTCTATCGAAAGACTGAAGCGATCTAAAGTAAACGAGTGTCTGGCGGACGACGCGCCCGTACTATTCCTGGAACAATCTGGCGTCATAAACGTGAGAGTTCCGAGCGAAGGCGGGTTCTTGATAAAGGTGTGCGATTTAAATCAAGAAGAAAATAATATTAATGGGAAGAAAGCAGTGCGATTCTCCAAACGAGTGAACACAGTTCCAAACGAAAGTGGCGTCTACAGCACAAAAGAACCAAAAGATGAGGAAACAAGTCTATAGAGAAGGCACTGAAAAACTTATAAAATCGAATAATTTATAATAAAATATTTTTATCTGAATAATATTATCTCAATGTCAGATAATTTAACGTTTTTTCAATAGTGTAAAAACCAGATGGAGAGGAGGGGTGTATAATATTCGCTTTAAAATGTTCGGTTAAACTTAATGTTTTACATAATGTAAAATACATTACTATATTACCTCTGCGTTCGCTGTAGATAATTAATTTAATTAATGTTTCTTATAAATGTATTGTTCTATTTACCATAGTAAGACGTTTCTAAAGTAATTGTTATCTGTCAACGACCATGCTTAAGGGTAAACATTTTCAATAAAAGAAATCAGTACCTATAAATAATATCACTGTAGAAAGCAATGGTTATTAATTACTCGTGCCGTCAACTAACTAAAATAATAACTAACAGTTATTACATTAACATTCATGTAATCTAGAGTAGTATGTTATTTTTGATACTCATGGTCGTTTAATGTAGTTAAGAGGAGGATGTAACAATACATTTAGTGGTCATAACCAATACCCGGTCGATGGATGAGTAATTGTTTTTATGTACGCCACTGGTTTTAAGACAAAAGTATACAATTAAATACTACATTTACTATTGATTCTTTGCATTTACCATACTTGAAATACAAAATCAAAATTTAACCACTAGAAAAAAATGATTGCAATTACTTTAAATAATAGAATATAATTTATTTTTGTTTTTATTACCAACTATATTATTAGAATACATATATTTTTAAAGTCATTATATTAAAGCTGTATTTTTACAACTGTGATTTTGTGTTAATAATTACATCCTAATTCTACAATTACCAATTAAGTTTACTGGTTGTGGGACACTATACAGTTGACTGCTGTCTGCGAATCCTAGACCTCCATTGTATCCTTGTTTTGATATACATATCCCAGATTTTGATATGGATTGAAAACGTTTCCTTCTGGGTACCCATTCCACCCTAAATGATATGCCAGACTGTTGTTTTGGGAATATTGGTTGATATAACCTGTACATTTTGCCTGATCGAATACATCGTGCCCGAATTCTTGAACCAAACCCCTATTGACTTACCTGTTTCAGTATCGCCCGTTAAATCTGACCGTCACGAAAGCAAAATAAACAATGGTAGCGGAATCTATGTTTGTACATCATAATTAGAAATTAAAAAAAAGAATCGAAATCAAAATCAAAGTAAAAAGATTTACCTTTGTATTTATAGTCATATCGTTGATGCTGTTCACCTTGCGTGGTGACTTGTAACTGATCGAAAATTGAAATACTGAGAAAATACTGATACTTATACTGAGAAAATGATTTGAATCAAAAATCAAGATTTATTTATATACGCTAAAAAATGTATATATGCTAGTTAGATAACAATTATGGTCAAAATTAACTTTCCAATCCAAGAAAATGATTAAAGTAGGTAATTTTATGGTACAGTAAATTGTAATCATCGAGATCGCATAAAATGTAAATGTCATTAAATATGTTAAAAAATTTTTAATTTTAATTTTAATAAGCAACGATACTACTACTCTAGTGATAAACTGCATTTAGTAAATTGAATCCGTAAGAAAATTAGGTATGTATTACAGGTTTTTTCATTGTATCATTGTTTGTGATGGTCGAAAGAGAAAAATATATATATAAATATAGTTAAATAATTTGCTTTTTGTTAACAGTATAACAATAAAAAGTAGATCAAAACTAACTATACGTAATTATTTTTATAAAACTTTTTATGGTTTCATTTAAGGAAGTATTTATCCTCGCGTTTACAATTGAATTGTATTCGACTGAATAAGATGTACAATTAAAAACGAAACAATAAACAAAACTAATAGTTTTGAAAAAAAAAATTAATTTCCAAGATTGAAGAGGTATGGAACATAATGGATGAACAGGAAAGCCTCTGTTCCAGAAGAACATTAAATGAGAATTATCATTCACAAAGGTCGATGGCCTTGAGACACGAATCGAATGGCAAACGAAAGAATTATAATACGATACTAAGTGTAGATTTGATGTCGAGTATAGGTGCTTTAGCATCACTAAATTATACAAATGGAAAAAAAAGTCGTTAGTAAAATTTTTTCTTAGAAAATTTCTTATTTAGTAGAGTTAATGTAGCCTACCTATCGAGCATCTCATTGGAGACGGCCGCACGATGAACTCGATTTGATCAATGAGATTTTTGCCCGTAGTATAATTATCCTTTTTTTTTTTAATGTGTGTCGGTACATCAAATGAAGTATGTAAATGTTTTAATTTAATTTTGCTTAAATATTTGGTCATCCCTAAGGCATGCAATCTTAGGCATGTGTACAACCCCTCTAAATATGGCAATGCACGTATGTTATAGCAACCGTGGACGGCGTCCGTAATTCAACTATTCTAGCGCGGGAAACGCTGAACATAGTAAAATCCTGATATTCAATAATATTATTGCAGACGGCATTTTCTATCCAACAAATCGCATGCTTCATTCTTCCGGAGAAAAGAACAAACACACGTTTGATGTTATAAGAAGCCGCCAGATCGCACTGTAATAAACGCTAAGTCTGTGTTCAAGTGAATGTCAAGTGCTCCAGTACGGTTACAAAACGACGAAAGTTTCATAGGTTTTAATTTATATTTTTTTGTTTCATCATTGCTAAGCTTCAAATAAATTTAACCTTCAAGGAAAATGTTTATCTCGGTCAATTAGGTAATTTTATTTTTACTGTTATTACGAACGAGACAAGGCGAACGAAAATCGTGTAATTAAAGTAATTTATTTATATATATAAATATATAATTTTAAATTCATATTGAAAATGTTTTTTTTTAAAGTTTTTTTTTTTTATAAATCAATTTTTTTAATAACAAACAATTCTGATAACGTGACTTATTGTACTATAATACAAATGCATTAATAAATACTTTATAAACACGAATGAATCGTACTTACGATTATTTGCATAGGTTATTAGTGTAATAAAAAAAAAGTATAGTTATACTTTTCAAATCCATCAGGAAGTATTTATTATTTTTGAATAAATTATGTTCGATGAATTGAACGAGCTCACGTTTCGCGCTGTTAACTTGTTTGATTTGATAATTAAATGACAATCAAGATCACAATATAAAAATATAAATGAATAAACATATATTTATGTTTATAAAAAAATCTTATACATTTTATCGCACCTTTATGAAATTATTATTTTGTTATTTTGTAGTTCATCGGTTAAATCGCTACAAAAACTTTGAAAATACATTACTGAGAAAATACATTACAATACATTACAAAATACATTAACCAGCGTTGCCTGAAAATATAATTGTGGTTGTTCAATTCATTTACAGTGTAGATCGTTGTGGAATCAATATTTTTTAAAGTGTAAATCACTCAAAAAAAACGTATAAAATAAAGCGTTATCTAACACATATAATTCTAGAAAAATAAATAAATAATTTTTATCTATAGGCACTCAATTTTTTTCTTCGAGTCCTTACAGGTCTGTAAAACGTAACAACACTAAGTTAAAAATGATTTATTATTTTTAAATCAATTTTTATTTATAGTTAATTATAATAAACTACGATTAAAAATAAATTTACCTATATGACATTTTATAATCAATGTATAGTATTAAATAGTAGTAGTCATAATTATCACAAAGATTATATCGCACTATCAGTGCAAGAGGGCCATATATCAAAAAATTTTAAATTTATGTTTTTGGTATCTCTGAATTCGTATTTTTTTCTTTTTCTTTTTTAGAGTGGTGCAATCTATGTAATTATATTTTTAACTCATCAGTTATATAAATAAAATTATTGCACTAAGACAGATCAAGAGGTAGCTGAAAACAGTAAAGCCGTAATACGAAATGTGGCCTTTAAATTATACTTGTTAATAACAATATTATAAGAAAATGTCTGGTCTAGTTAGTCATATTGATATTTAGCAGAAGAAAATTACAAACTATTATAAATTATCAAACATTAGAAATGCTCTCCTGAACAATTTAATGTTTTTGATATATGGTCCTCTTGCACTGATAGTGCAATATGTTTAACAAATAAATATTTTAATACACATCGGATTATTTGTCCGAATTCCTGGTTTATTACGTTCATATAGTTACTTATTTCATGTTGTGATACTTAACGAATTTCAGTGGGATTTCACTTATTCATCTCTTTTCATTTCATATTTAGTTCATTCTTAGTTTATTGCGATATGGTTCTGTTCGTATTATTCACTGCTATTATACGAATATTACCCTTAAGATTAGTTTGTTTGTACTTTTTTGTACCTTATTTTATTTGATATTTTCTTACTCAATCTGGGGGGAGTTAACCAATTGCAATTAAAATGACATTTCATATACCAATAGCGCTCTAAAAATTTTAGGGTTGATTGACCAATTTCGGTCAAAACATTTTACCACACCCAAGGAAAATTCTTTGGTTAGCTATAAATATATAATAAATTAATACACTAACCGATTTTTGTTCAATTATAAATACTTAATACAACATAAATAAATTAATATTTTTTTTTCTTCACACTAATCAAGTTCATTCTTGATCGTCAATTTTTCAATACTAAGATATAATTATAAATATAATAAAATAAATAATACACTAATTGTTTTTTTGCGATTATAAATACATAATATAATATTAATCAATAAATTCAAATTTAAAATTATACCAGTTACATTATAATTCACATTCAAACTGATTTTCTAATAATTAATCAAATCAATTTTATTAACAATATTTTCATATCTGAAAGTCGTCAAAATTCAATAGCACAAAAATTTCATAACCAATTATTAGTATATTGACCGTAAAATATATAAAGAGCAGTTGTTACAATTATCCTAAACAAAAACTCGCTTTTATGCACGATTGGTCCATACCCAACCTGTACACAATTGTTTGTTGCAAATTGTTTTTAATTGTTTTATAGTCATGGTATATTTTTTTATTGAATTCTTATCATTATTTATATATTATAATTTATATTATATTTTTTTTTATTTTATTGTTTTATAGTCATGGTGTATTTTTTTATTGAGGTTTTATCATTATTTATATATTATTTGAACATAAAATACAATGTTTTGGTAAATTCATTGGCGTAATGTGCCAATATATAATCTAATTTTTTTAATCATTAATTATTTTGAGTCATACAATGAATATTATACAGTGTGTCGAAAAATTTCCCGAACTTTCTCTACAGCGGCTGTACAATTGAAACAATCTATCAGACAAAACTGGTACTAGGTAGCTACAATTAACTGTAGTATGTGTACAAAATTGTATCGCTTTCCGTTCAATATTTAAGTTGTGTTTGAGGAACGCGTATTGGTGTCGCAGGTGCAAATCCCGAAATGGAGGAAAAATTCGTCAGTATTAAGCCATGCGGACGACTGACGTTTCGTCAGAAAAAAAACTGAACTTTCGTCACCGGTAACAATTGATGAAAGGAATGTTCGAATGTGCATCACAAGTCTCGACAACAATCGACGCGACGATCCTTTTGCTCCGTCGTTAAAAAATGAGGGAAAAACGCGAGCTCACTTTTCTTCGGTACATTTTTCCTAAAAAATTATCGTCACACTATTCTTACTAATGTTCAATTCATCTGCTA